TTAATGGACCTATAAACATCTCACCTACATAATGCTTTTAGTATCTGAACTAATGACTCATTCTTGTGAAAATGAACATCCCCAGAAACTGCTCTGAACTGTGACTTTCAAGTAGGCAGGTGACAGTAGGAGGTCTCCAAACATTGCCATGTGTGGGTATCCAAGGTCAGGACCAGAGACCTGCTTTGATTTTATTGTCCAAGTGTTGAAACAATATTTTGAAGGGTGTGGTGAAGAACTTAAACCCCACGTAGCCTCCTAATGCTGGACTCAGATCCACAGAGCTGGGCAGTTGAAATTTGCATCTCCAGCTCATCCTTTGAGTTAAGGGAATGGAATCCCAAAATGTCTGGTTAGTGTCTGCTTTCGAGCTTGTGACCCCAATAAACCCATCCTGAAAAAAGTGCATTGATGATGTAAAGAACAGTTTCTTTGAAAATAATGTAAGAAAAAAATCTCCAGGCACTAAATAAATTAAAACTTTTACTTTGAAGTAAATAGAATTATAACAAAAATGATCAACAATGAAAAAATGTGAGAGGAAAAAGATAATTGAAAGATTTGGCTCAACTCAACTGCTCCTCCTAGTGTTAATAACTGTTGTTACCTTCCATTTCTAAACAACTGGTAAAGAAACTGAAAGCTCTATCTTACTTTGCAATATGTTATTATTTTAGAAAATTTTAGATCAACTTAGAATAAGGTACAATAGAAAACGGGGCATTTCAGTTTCTTGAGAAGGCACTGATTTAAATCTTAATTGATAAGCAACCAAATGTGACAAAAAGAAAAATGCAGCAGGGAACCACCAACATAAATATACAGAATGAAATGTTACTCCTCCAAATATTATTTTAAACACATTTTTACTTACATGTGACACAACTATCCAGCAAGTCATCTTTAAAATATGTATTGGAAGTGAATCATCAAATGAGATAAAATATACTAATAAAAGTTCAGTAACACAATGTTAGGGCTTGTGACTGTGCTGATACATTAAATACACACAGGTAAATGTTTTCTTCTCTATTTTTCCATCTTTGTAAAGGTAGCTTCATTGCAATGTCTCTGTGTTTATTACACATTTTAAAGTATCAACTGTTTTAATTCTTAGGAGAAGTCCAGCTGGACTTACTACAGGAAGGGTTATAAGAAGACCTCGAGCGCGGGAGGAGCGAGCGGGACGAGGCGGGCCCACCTCCGCCTGTGCAAGTCTGCGGGCGGGCTCTGCTCCGTTAGCCATGAGCTACGTTTTCAAGTCTTGTCTTCTGTGACTCTGGTGGTTTATCCTCAGTTCTCTTTTTGCTACTTTCAAACCTCCGAAAATTGTTCAGCTGTTAAAAAGTTCCAAAACAAGCAAATGTGTTCCTGGAATCCTACCCTTAGCTTTGCTGGAGAACATATACTAAGGCTTCTTCTACAGCCAAAATAATAAAAGATCTGTTAAGTGGCTGAAATTCTTGGTTGATTGCACATACATGCCAATGTCAGACAACTATAAATAGAGAGATTTGAAAGAAAAATAGGGAGAGTCTTTATAACTCCAGTGAAATAAAATGGAATGTTTTGAAGGCAGTCAGAAAACAGTACATGCATTTATAAAATAAGATTTGTGTCCCTTCAGTCCCAAATCCCCTTTGAGCAGGAAGAGCCCACCCAGATCATGCACTTCCAGTTAAGGGAATAAAACAACTTTCTTTTCTTATTAATATATATTTATTATTCCCAACCCTGTAATTAAGATTTCTTCTTCATATTATCCTTTTGAGTTTAGATAGCTGCTAGGTCTTTTGATACGTTTCTCCCATCCGTGCTTTGTTTGCCCAGAATACTAAGAAAATCCTTCAAAGGATAAAACTATGCCCATGGTTACTGGTGTAAATGAAGTCAGCAGGGAGCTGCATGGGTGTTACCTAGGGCAGACTTGGCCCCCAAATAATCTGGGTCACATGTTAGAGCCCTTCAAAGAGACTTGAGGATTCGTCTCTCAAGAAATTCTTACTCGCTTAGGCAGGTTAACATATCCACTGGCTTTAAGAGCTGAGTTAATATGTATTTTTAAAGGCATTGTTACTTAATTTTGAACTGTGACTTACTTCTTTATGTTAACCTACGCATCCTTTATTAACCCATCTAAACTGAATTAAAATTAGTTCTTGCAAATGAGTTCACTCTGTTTTGATCCTGGTACTGCTGTAGAAGAGAATTTACCAATTGCTTCAGTTTCATAATTGTGCTGTAGACAAGCAAATTAGTTAGCAGCGATGGAGAAAGTCAGCACTTGACTAATAGGGTTTAAATGCAGTTTTTCCAAATCTAGACCTCACTCTGAAGTGAGAAACGTTGAAATGTCAATGATGGTTGCAGGGTCACACATCCATGTGGAGGAAGAATCAGTAATAAAATTAATGTCTCTGAATCCTCAGTTCTTTGTAAATTGCATGGGGTTAAAATTGGCTACAGGCTACAGCTTGGCTCTAAGGATTCAGTATGTAACACTGGGATATCAGAAAGTAATATTTTTATAATATTTTTAGTGATGATTTTATTACTTAGTGTTTTCTGAAATAAATCCTTAAGGCAACACTTTCAGGGACTTAAAATTAGCATGGTTCTAAACAAGTCATATTTATAATTTCAAATATTTTACCTCAAGCTCAGCTTTTAATATTTTACCTAAAATATTTTCAAAGCAATCTAAGGTTGGGACTCAGTTTATTAAATAACTTTGAATTAATTCTAATTTTTTTAAAAAGCATATGTGATGGTAAAGATTAAAAGAAAATCATTAACTACAATTCTGTCAACTGATTAAAAAAACTTGACATGAAAATGTAATGCTGCCTTCAGTATTTTAGACCTTGTTTTTGGTAGAAAAAAAATATAAATCCCATATTCATGGAAAACGCAAGCCATAAATATCTCTACAGTAATTTCTTAAAAAGACACTATGTTCTTATTTTGTGAAAAATAACATTCCTAAAAATTCTTATTTGCCCTCAAAAGTAAAAGCATATTTACTGATATCTGGTAGCCTTTAAGAAAAATTTTAAGATTGAGCACAACACACATAGTTTTTAAAACTTCTAAAGCAGCACTACCACAGGATGCACATCCTGATTTTTGCCAATGAAATTAACTACTTTTGCTGTGATAGAAATAATATCTTTCAGAGAAAGGAAAGCATCAGGTCATAGGTGGCCAGACTGAAGTGAAACAACACAAAGCTTGAACACTACTTCAATTTCCTTTTTCTTTTTGAAGACATTGCCTGGGATAGAGCAATGCAAATGGACAAAAGCATCTTCTCTGAGAGGTATATATGTTAGTGTGCCCATGATGGCAGGTGCTGAATATAAGTCTACAAGTCACAACAATGAATGACTGGAGTAGGCCAAGTGTGTATGGTGAAGGGTCATATCCACCAGAGGACAGCGGGACAAATATCATAGCATCATCCACACACACATACCCCAGGTCTTTTGTAAACCATTCTAAGTGGATAAGAATTGTTATATATTTTCCTGGGCAATTTGGAGGCCATTCTAGTTCTTTCTGGCTTAAGGAAGGAAAAGGAGTTCTCTAAATTAGAGATTATTCTCCACAGATGCTATTATATGTAGATGTGCAGGATTTTCCTGTTACTTCAAAGATAGGGTTAGAGATTCAACTGCCTTATCAAGAAGTGTTCCATAAAGTGGTTAGTTGGTTGAACAAAACTTTTTGAGCAATTATGAGAGAGGAATGTGTTTGATCATTTCATTAAGGTAGGAACTGTATATGTATATATTACCTGGTATATGAAAGCACTTAATTAAAATAAGTTAGACCACTGATCAGTAAAGTGGTGGTGGGGTTGGGAGAGGGGGGAGTCAAAGGGTGAGGAACACACACAGAATGCTCCCAGCAGAGGGCGTGCCTCCTCAAATATTAGGGAGACTCTAGATACTAAGAACTGACTCTTCAAATAGCAAATGTAAGGCGTGGTGTTTGACAAAAATAATTATACTCGAGTGTTCTTATAAGTATGAATTTAATCAAAATAAACTGTCAAATCTTTCAAATAAGGCACTGTAGAATTTAATGCATTCATTCCATGAGTTCCTCACAATGAGCTGTCCGCTGCATCCACTGGCAGTATTGATTAAAGACATTTTTATTTAAAAAGGTTTTGTCTTACTTTTTACTTTCATAACATATTGCATCTATAATTAAAATGTAGTAACAGTAAAAAGTGAGACAATAACACTAAATTCCCTCGAGACAAAATTTTGTTCTGATAAATTATAGTATATTTTATCAAAGCGGTTCTAGTTACCGTTTCCATAGCATACTGCTTGAAATGTGATACCCACAATAAAACAAGTGACTCAGTTACTCTGCCTTTCAACTTTCAATGATTTACTAACAGGCAGGCTTGCAATAAAAGACCTCTGAATAACTCGAGAAACCCAGGTCTACAGATTTCATCAAATTTCGAAACCAATAAATAAAACTATTTTAACAAGGTCAGGTGACAGAACAGAAATTAAATAAATGGAGTGATGTATGTACTTAGTTTCCCAATAAAGCTTAGGGGAAAAATAAGAGAACTGAAAAAATTTGAAAGATCAATTTTATCTAGCTCAAAAGTTGTCACCAACTTTATTTAGATTATAAAGTCAGTCATTATATTGTACTTAATAAAAGTTATTTTGCTGATGCTAAATGTTTCTTGAAATCTAGTTACAAGAAGATTGACCAAATGAGTTGTAGGCTTTACAGCTCTGAAGCAACACCACATTGCCCTAGGAACACAAACTCGCATGTACAACAGTGTTGGTTCAGGCTGAACATGGTGGCTGGCACAGTTAGGGCTTAGCAACTGCTTGATAGTTAAATGAATGGATGAATGAATAACTGGACGAACAGATGAAAAAAATGTCATGAAAACTTATCAGGAGAGTTTTAAAAATTAAAAGAGTGAGAGAATGAGCACAATCTGTATAAAGACTTACTTATTCCATGCTTGTCTAAGGTGTTTAGAGCTGTACACAGTAAAGCGATCTGAAACAGAAAGAAAAATGATAAACAATCTTTGTTTCAAATGTCTATATTGTTTGAAAAGTATGTTTAAAAAATCAGCTTTTAAAAAGACAGTGTTGGATTTAGCCACACTATGCTAGCCACAGTAGGTCTTCACCTTTGAAACGAGGAGAGCTTAACATTTTAAACAACAAAGTACTGTTTTCTTTTGTCTAGAGTGACTTGTTTCATAATCTGGTTTTCGGAGTGATTACTTCTTAGAATATCAAACTTTTTATTGGGCTGAAAAAAGAAATGCAAATTCCAAACCTCCAAACTGTAAGAAGCTTTACAGGAGAATATTGGTGCATCGGTCAAGTGAGACCTTCGGTTTTCTCTAAGAAGACACCTCTGACCAAATACAGTCACGTTGGGTCTCCTTTCTTACACTCTATGACATTTACACTTGCTCAAAGCCAACCATCAATGTCCTATAATGGATATTTATCATTAAACAACTTTTATTCTATTTTTTCAATTAAAACATAACGTTTGCTTTATCAAGTTAAACAACAAAGTGGCATGGAATAGATATTGATAATCTCTCCTGCTCCCATTGCTCACTCCTGGTGATATAGCAATTATTAATGGCTCTGTATGTCTCTTTCCACATATTTCTTATGTGAATAAACACAAACCCATATACTATATACACTATTTTATTTTTTTAGATGAATTGTACAATAAACATTGCCAAAAAATTTTTAGGCATTTAATAATATATACTGGATCATCCTTCAAATCAACAAAATAGATGTAATAATTGTTTTAAAACTCTATTAATATCCCATAGGCTAGAAGTACCATAAATTATTTGACATTCTCAAGCTGATGAAAATTTAGGTGGCTTCCTGTTCCTTTCACCTTAAAAACAGTGCTTTATTAAATATCCTTGCACCTCTATCTCTATACACTGATGCTTTCATTTCCGTTGGATATGATGTTTTCATTTCTGTTGGTCAGACTCTCCAATCTAGTAGAACTGCTTGGCAAACTGTATGTACATTTTACATTTAAATAGATGCTGAAAGGTTACTTTTCATTTTCCCACAAGCAATGAAAAAATGTCTCTTTAATAGTACGCATCCTGGCTTGTAAGAATGGTTCAACACATGCAAGTCTAAAATATATATCATATTAATAAAAAGATAAAAATCACGATTGTCTCAATCAATGAAGAAAAAACATTTGATGAAATTCAACATCCATTCATGATAATAACTCTCAAAAAATTGGACATAGAAGGAAAGTACCTCAATACAATAAAGTCCTTATATGATAAGCCCACACCTAATATGACACTTAACAGTGAAAGATAGAAAGCTTTTCCTCTAAGATCAGGAACAAGACAAGGGTGACACTCTTATATAACATGGTACTTACTGGAAGTCTGAGCCAGAGAAATTAGGCAAAATAATAAATAAACAAATAAATATGTAAATAAATAAATGGCATCCAAAATGAAAAGTAAAATTGTCTGTTTGCAGATGCCATGATTTTATATATAGAAAATCTTAAAGATTCCACCAAAAGAGTTACAACTGATAAACAAATTCAGTGAACTTGCAGAACTCAGAATCAATCTACAAAAATCAGTTGCAGTTCCATATACTGACAATTTATCCAAGAAGGAAATAAATGAAACAATCCCATTTCCAATAGCAAAAACAATAAAATATCTAAGAATAAATTTAACCATCGAGGTAAAAGATATGCAAACTAAAAATATAAGACAATGATAAAAGAAACTGAAGACACAAATAAATGGAAAGATATTCCATGCTCATAATTGAAGAAATTAATATTGGTAAAATGTTCATATTACCCAAAGTGATTTATAGATTTAATGCAATCCCTATCAAGATTCCAGTGGCTTTTTTTGTGTTTTTTTTTTTTACGGAAATAGTAAAAGCAATCCTAAAACTCATATGGAACCAGAAAAGGCCTTGAATGGTCGAAATAATCTTGAGAAAGAAGAATAAAGCTGGAGGTATTATACTTCTTGGTTTCAAACTACTTTATAAAGCTATAGTAATCAAAACAGTATGGTACTGGCATAAAAACAGACACATAGGCTAATAAACAGAACAGAGAGCCCAGAAATAAATTCAAGCAGATAAAGTCAACTAATATTTGACAAGGAGCCAAAATACTCAATGGAGAAAAGACAGTCTCTTCAATAAATGGGCCTGGGAAAACTGGATATTCATATGCAAAATAATTAAAAAATAAAACTGGACATCTATCTTACGCCCCTTACAAAAATTAACTAAAAAACCCCAAAACCAACCTAAAGACTTAAATGTCAGACCTGAAACCACAGAAAAAATCAGGGAACCTTGGCAATGAATTTATGGATATGATACACAAAGTACAAGCAACAAAAGCAAAATAAGTGGGACTACAGCAAACTAAAAGCTCTGTACAGCAAAACAAAAACAAAAAAAGAAAACAATAAAAGGTAACCTAAAGAACGGAAGAAAATATTTGAAAACCTTATATCTGATAAGAGGATAAGCTCAAAATATATAAAAAATTTACATAACTCAATAGCAAAAACCACCCCAATATTCCAATTTTTAAAATGAGCAAAGGAGCTGAACAGACATTTTTTCCAAGGAATATATTCAAATAGCCAACAAGTACATGAAAAGTTGCTCAACATCACTAATCATCAGAGAAATTCAAATCAAAACCACAGTGAGATATCACCTCACTCCTGTTCAAACCGTTATTATCAAGAAGACAAGAGATAAGTGATGAGGAGGGTCTTGTACATTCCTGGTGGGAATGTAAATTGTTGCAGCCACTATGGAAAATGGTATGAAAGTTCCTCAAAAAATTAAAAATAGGACTATCATATGATCCAACAATTTCGCTTCTGGGTATATATCTGAAGGAAACAAAAATCACTATCTTGAAGAGATTTCTGCACCACTATGTTCATTGCAGCATTATTTACAATAGTTAAGATGTGAAAACAACATAAATGTCCATGCATGGATGAACGGATAAAGAAAATGTGGTGTATATATACAATAGAACATTATTCAGCCATAAAAAAAGAAAAGCCTGCCATTTGCAACAACACAGACGGACCCCGGAGGGCATTCTATGGGGAGGGCATTATGCTAAGCGAAGTCACTCAGACAGAGAAAGACAAACACCCTATAATCTCACTTGCTTGTGGAATTTTGAAAAGCCCCAAACTAATAATAGAAACAGAGATCAGACTGGCAGTTGCCTGGGGGGATGGAGGAGGGTGGGATAGGGGAAAATAGTCAAAAGGTACAAACTTCCAGTTATAAGATAAGTTCTGGGGATGTAATGTACAGCATGGTGACTGTGGTTAACGATACTGCATGGTATATTTGAAAGTTGCTAAGAGAATAGATTTTAAAAGTTCTCACCACACTGAAAAAATTATAACTGTGAAGTAGCAGATTTGTTAACTAAATTTATTGTGGTTCATCATTTTGTAATACATACACATATAAAATCTCTTATGTTGTGCACCTTAAACCTATACAATGTTACATGTCAATTATATCTCAATAAAGCTGGGGTGGGGGAAGACAATGTTCTAACAAAGTGAAGCAAAGAGATGCGAGTGGCCAACATGAGAGGGACACTTCAGGTTGGGTGACAAGGAAAGGCGAGTTTCAAACAAAACAGACACCAACAAAATAAACAAAGTTCCCATTGGAAATCTGGTTGAGTTCCATTAAAGGATAATATAAAATCTTTACACATAACAATATGGTGTCTTTCTGTTTCGACAGGATGTGTGTGTACATTCTCCAGTAAAATTAAATGGTTTCTTTTTCATAGTGATCTCGTTTCTTTTTAATAATTTACCACTCAGTAGGCTTAAATTTGCTTAAATATTTGTTGGTGTCTTTTGTCAGTGTTGTCTGCTTTTAACTCTAAGCTTTCTGAAGGAGAGGCTAAAAATTATTTATATATATTTTTTACAGTATGTTTCACGTAGAAGAATACCATTAGACAAGAAGAACAAAAAGAAATTTAAGGACACAGTTTCCTATCTCTAAAAGCAGAGTTGATTCAAAGGGATGACTGGAAATACTACTGTACAAGGATTCATTCACTTGATTACTGTTTATTGAGCAACTACTGCGCGCCAGGTATACTTCTTGGGGCTGAAGACACAGGAGGGAATCAGACAGAAACCTTCCTGCCTGCATTCCAGCAGGGAATGTCAAGGCTGGAGTGAGCCTGGAGCACAGGGTGGCTGGAGCAGACAGAGCCCAGGAGAGATGAGTGGAGGCTGAGATCGAGACGGGCAGAAGACCAGCTTACGCAGAGCCTTTGTGGCCTTTAAATGTGATCTAGATTTTTTTTTTTTTTTTAAGGATCACTGTGGCTTCTGTTTGAAGAACACACTACCAGAGACAAAACTGGAAGTGGGAAGGCCAATAAAAGATTATTACCATTGTTCAGGAGAGAGTTGATATGACTTGGGCTATGGCAACAGGGTGCAGTGAGAAGGGGTCAGTCTGAAACTTTTAAAAAGGTAGAGCCAGTAAAATGTATTGATAAACTGAACATGGGGTGTGACAGAAAGATAGGGTTTAGGATGACTAATAGAGCACTTATTGATCTCCAACTTCCAGGTTTCCAAGGTTTGGAATTACATATACAACTCAAATATTCCCCTGAGAATACATTAATCTTTCCATGATGATTCCAAAGTTGTTTAAAATTCTCATGAAGTCTCAGAGTCATTATTCAAGCAGGAGTAATTGTCAAAATATTTAATAACCTGCAAGGCACAGGCACTGACCAATCAGTACAGAAAGTAGCCGCTCTACTATAATGATGTACATTAGCTGAAGATCAGGCCTGATCACAAATATCTACTGATCTGAATCTACAGGCAAAAGTGTTCACCAACAATTATGTATTTATTTGTTTCAAAACAATGTCTACCCCTGGCTGGTTTGGCTCAGCGGTTAGAGCAT